ATGAACAACACTGTGGAAGTGTAAGCAAAATAAACCCTCCCCCCCACCGAGTTACCTTCCTATAATGTTTCATCACAGCAATAGTAACCTTAACTAAGACAGTTAGGCTATCCAGGTGACAGTCTTTCTATCTAATGTTCCCTTAATGCTGTGCCATGACTCTCTGTAGCCCTGCGTTGCTATTTAAGAAGTCCATCTAGCTATACCACCATTCTCCAGTGGCCAGAAGAGAAGACTAGAGACAAAGTAAGATGTGCAATCATCTGTAACAGTGACATATGACAAGATGAGGTGAATTAAGATACCTTTATCTTTTCCAGAAACATGTCATCCAGGAAGTGATAGCACAGCAGTTTGGTCTTGAGCATTCCCCAGGTATGTGTGTGACAGGGTTGGTCTAGAGGGCATGTTATTGGGATATAAACTAGAAGCAGTCAGTGCCAGTGGGAGGCCGTTAGGAGGTGTGCCTTAAGAGATTATTGTGAGACCCAGGATCCTTTCTCTTTATTTCCTTGCCATAGGATGAGTAGTTCTGTCCCTCTGCTTGTTCACACCGTAGTAAGCTGCCTTGCTCAAGTTGTATGGCCAACCAATCTTGGACTAGAACTTTTAATGTTGTGAGCCATTCCACACACAAAAAATAAAATTATAAGTTCATTATTCCAGGCATTATTTATGTATGCTTGTTTCTGGAAGTTGGTTCTCTCCTTCCACCATTTGTATCCAGGAGACCCAACTCAGGCCATTTGACCTAGTGGCAAGCACCCTTACCCACAGAGCCATTTCACAGGCCCCAAGCTCAATTACTGGGGGTATCCATAACTGTCTTCAGTTTTTTGTTCTCAAGATATGGACTGCCCCCTGGTCAATGTAATCTAAATTTTGGACACTAAATACTTCCCCTGTACAAATTTTCAAATGTGTATTTTTTGCTTTGTTCCTCTTGATAGTAGTCCTTTTCCTTGTGCCCCTATTTATGTGGCTTTGTGGGTTTCTTTTTTATTAGAACTGTCTCATACATACCTACTATTGGCTTTTCCACTGACACTCTAATTTAGTATGTATAAGGGAGAATGATTGATTCTTTGCCGTAAATTTCCATACTTGATAGATGTTTCTTCTTCTCAGTAAATGATACCATCTTTTTTTTTCAAGCCCCTGAAACAAGAATCTCGGAAGCTGTGCTGTATTTCTATAGCATACCCATTCCATTCAGTCTGACTGTATTCATTACAGAATCCAACACTACAGCTTCTGTGTAGTGACATCCCATAGTAATGTTATATGAATACTGAGACCTCATCTATTTGCCTTCTGTCAGCCATTTTCCCCATGACTTTCCATCTCTATAGCTGGTAGTTTCCAGGGTGACTTGCTGACAAGAAAATCATTCTGCGAGTTGCAATATATTCTAGCATTAGGAAGCTGTGCATGACTTGCACTTGGCCTTCCCCCGGTCACCTTCACCCTGTTCTCTCACCTAACATGACTGTCATGCACACATTAGTTACCAGAGGCACACTGCATACGATTTGTCACACTGGCCCTTCTCAGGAAATGATATGCAAAGACTGGCATTTTCAATGAATGCTAAGTAAGACTAATTCATTAATCAGTATTTTCACAACTTAATCATCTGTTGTCATCTTTCATTTCAAAATAACGTATGATTTTCTAGCCTCTTCAAACAAATAACAAAGACCACGAGAGCATGAGTTGCATATTATACTTAATTGTCTTTTCTCTATAGCCCTTTGTGTGGCTTGAGGAAATACACACACGCACGTTGAACGCATTAGTAAAAATGTTATCTTTGAAACAAACCTCCATTTTAATGTACTAGTGATTATCAGTTTCTGGTGACTTCAGTTTAAACATCTGAATTCTAGCATCAAAAACAAAAGCCTGTGAGGAAATAAAAAATGGCTCAGTGATTAAGCATGCTTATTGCTCTCCCCTAGGACTGCTGTTTGGTTCCCAGAACTCTTTTTGGGTGGCTCACAACTCCAGATCCAGCTCACCCAGATTCCTGCCTGGCCTCTTTGGGCACCTGAACTCAAACACACCTACCTGCACATACACACATACACACACACACACACATACACACACACACATACACACACACATACACACACACACATACACACACACACACATACACACACACACTGTTTTTTTTTAAATTAATTAATTAATTAATTAAAAGTCTTAGAAGATTCTTTGATTTGAACCACAAATAGCCATGGCAAAAAAACAAAAAAACAAAAACAAAAAAAAAAAAAACAATCCCCCCCTTTCTGAACACTGGAAAAACTAGGTATTTGAAGTCTATGTTCACTTCTAAGATCTGGTCATTTTTATATGGTATATCAATTGCAATTGATGAGTATGGAAGTTAACTTATTCATAAACTGTTACTAAACACAGAAAATCAACAAGACATGTAGGATGTGCTAGGGATTGTAAGAGCTAACAAAAGTCAGGCAGTGGTGATGTATGCCTTTAGTCCCAGCACTCAGGAGACAGAAGCAGGCAGATTCCTGAGTTCTGAGTTCAAGGCTAGCCTGATCTACAGAGTGAGTTCCAGGACAGTCAGGGCTACAAAAAGAAACCCTGTCTTTAAAAGCCAAAAAAAAAAAAACCATGCTGTATACAATTCTCATGAAGAAGTCAAATTTAGTATTTAACTATACCATATAACTAAGTGTAGATATTTTAAGCCTCTTTATGGAACTGAACCAGGTATAACAGAAACACATCAAAATAAGACAAAGTGAGACACCTATTGAAGACAATGTGGTAAAAATAGGGTTTCTTCCTTTTTATATGCAGAACTTTCACATCTGCATGGTACAAAGTTGCATAAAGCCATTTCTGTAACAAGATTCCTGAAGAATTCGGACTAGATAAGATCTAAATTTCAGGTAAAGATTTTTGTTTCAAATAAGGCTTTAAACAGAAAAAAAGGGGGGGTTAAATATGTGTAAACACAGGACATTCCTGCCTCATGCTCTTGGTGTCGTCAATAAAGTTGTGTAGGGTTCTTAGATGGCTCCAAGTGACCAGAAGACAACAGATACACAACTGTAGAAAGCAGATTTATTCTCAAGACAGAAAAACAGCATGCTGAGGTCCACCCAAAATGGCATTGATCCTGGGGGAGAGTAAGGCAGTCCATTTTAATCCTGCTTAAGGGTATTCCAGCTGGGGTTAAGTGTATTTTGAAGTGATTGGGTATAGAGACACTTCTGGTACAGGAATCATTTTATGATTGGTTCATGACATCTGGTCAACAACTGGGGCTGTGGTGTCAGGGGTCTGTTTGCTGTGTCAGGGGTTTGTTTGACTGAAAATAGCAAGAACAGTCCCTGCTTGTGGCTGGGTAGAACCCTGATTGTCTACAAGACTGAACATACTTCCTGAGGGTCTGACTGAAGCCAGACATGAGACAACACAGGATGGTACGGTAATATGGGACAGAGGTCTTAGGAAACTTGCCCCTGGAGAGAAACAACTGGCCCTGGCCCCTTCAGTTGAAGATGCCACAGAAAGGACTTGGCAGTAACTGAAACAATAGTGAGAAATATATATGAATAGGGAAGAAACACAAAGCTGTAAAGTACTTGGGGTGTTGGTAGGTCTGATCCCGTCAATCCTGATAGGGAGAACACATGAGCCAAAGTGTGAGGAGCTCTCTTGAGGTTGGATTGTAAATCCTTGCTTATTCCTTGGGAAGACCAGAGTGTACTGTAGGAAGATGTTTTGTTCAATTAAGCCAGTGAGCCTTAGAATGATAGTTATTTGACCAATTGCATAGACTTATTTTTATTGCTTTAATGATTGGTGCAGACCTGTTTGTACATAATGACTGAACATCAGACTTTAGTGTTGGCCAAGTATAACATATTGAATTGGGCCTGCAGGTGAGGGTTATGATCTCTTTTTTCTGCCTATGGGCAGAGGCACTTGTACAGGGGTGGGGAAGTTGGTATTTGTGTACTTTGTCTACGACAGCATGCCAGTAACTATTTCACACACTCCCCCACACTACCATTCTTCAAAAGTCCCTTCCTTCTTACTTTAAGCTGATATGTTTATTTCTCACTACCTTGACTTAGTAAGTGTGGAAGTCATTTACTAAAGGCAAATAATACCCAAAGTTTTCCTGTAAATTTCCCCATTGGGGATGGCTGCACTCTCTCCTTCATGAGTCTGATATGAGCAGTTTGCTTCCAGCATTAAAATTCTTTCTTTAGTTTAATAAGAACTATAGTCTGCCTTCACAGTCTATGTAATACCGCAAATGTCTCTATTTATCTTTTCCACTGCTTGATCATCAAGCCATGAGAGACATATGGGAACTGATATTGAGTGATCCCACATTCACTCAGAAGCATCAGCACATTGAAGGGAATTGTAGGATAAATACTTGTAGTCTATAAATTCATATTTATACCTTTAGTTTCTCATTTTTGGATAATGAGAGCTGGTAGATATGAAGTGCTAATACACGTTATTGTACAGATGCATTATGTGAGCCTACTGGAAAATATGATGCAATTTTCTACATATTAAATTTGATAGTCCATTTAACATGCTTAGCATAGTGCAGGGCATAGTGTAAACAATAAGCGTTGGCTATTACTCGCAATACTTTTAGGATCAGTGCTGATATTTAAGAGTTTACCCTACAGCCGAGTGGAAGAGACAAACGCTTCTAGAGATGAATAGTGGCATAGTAAGTACTAAATTACATCGTAGGTGCTCAGAGCAGAAGAGGGCACCATCAGCCACAGCGCCGATGATTAGCCTGGAAATGTTATGCATAAAAATGCCTGGGCTCACAAGAAAAAAGCCAGCAGCTGCAAAACAACAGTTTGAATAAAAGACAGGACAAACTCGGAGGTAATTTTCAGGCCCTCTCTAAGACAATTAAACCACAATATTAAAGTTTACGTGCATGTGATTTATGGCTTATAAACAGTTTCTTTTGTTACCTCCTGGAGTAGCGTGGAAGTTAGCTGACAGAAGACTAGGTAATTCCCGTCTCAGTTCACTAGTGACGACGTCCCTTTGGCGTGTGGTGAACAGCACAGACTCCTTCTGCACAGAGGTGAAGTGGTAGGGCCTGAAGAAGAGCTCTGAGCCCAGCACCTTGTCGTTGTCTTCTTCCTGTTTTGCCTGAAACAGTAATTCACAGAAAATAAAATGTGCTGTGATAGCAAGTGCCAGAGCTAGTATATTATTTAAAATACTTTTCTGTGTTGACAAAGTCCATTTAGAAAAGAATGAGGAAACCTTTCAAAGTGGCGTAACCATCGATACTGTTTTTCCATTAACCAGACACGCTGGTATCATCTTAATTCAAATATTTGTAAGCAGAAAAGAGAGGCTCATTTTTATTCACAATGCCTTTCCTATCCCATCTGGCACAAGCAATTTCCTTTTGTTTGCCTTTAAACTGTGTTATAAAGAAATTAATTTTACCCTACGGGCTTTCACTATGAATTCCACAACTTTCACTCTGTGTATTTCTCAATTTCATCATCAGTAACAAATCGTTCTTGAGGGTAGAATTGTACTTGTCAATTTTTCTACTTTACCCCATCAGATTTTCATTAGGTCTTACCACTAACAAAATTCTTTGCTTTCTTCTGAAAGTTGTCAACAGCTATTATAATTATTTTATCACAGGAATACATGCTATATTGGTGTATACATGCTAATTGGAAAATTACCTTTCTAAATTGGTTTCTAATGAGAATGATTATGAGCCCTGTCACTTAGACAAGTGGTCCAGTGAAAACAGAATCAATTGAACCAAATATATATGATTAATAACTGAAAAACATAAACATGTACTTTGTAATTATTTAATCATCCTTCTTGCGGTGTCTGGTGATTTCAAGTCTGCCTGTGCATAACTTCTGCTCACGGAAGCCAGTGGCATTTCTAAAACAAAAGACAAAAAAAAAAAAAAAAAATAGAAAAATTACTTTACTTTAGCTTCTTGATTTCTGCTCTTAATTGAACTTGAATTTGTCCAAGAATAAAGAACTGATGAGAGAAAATGCCCACCTCAAAGAGGTCCAAGTGTAAAGACACCACACCCACAACTGCTAGCTACTCAACCTTATCTACATAATAGGCAGATTAGCTGGTAAGTTTACCATAGGTTTTTTCTTTTACTAGGGCTGAGATAATAGTGTGCTCTATAGTGTGTTTCATGCATGTGTACACACATGTGTGCCACTATAGAGATCAAAGGTATACATTGGGCGTCATGCCCTACTTACCTTCCACCTAATTTTTTGGGCTCATTAATTGACTAGAATGGCTGGCCTGTAAGCCTATAGGATCTCTCCGTCTCTGCCTTCCAATTGCTGGGGTTACAGGTGTGCACCGGTGTGACATGGCACTGAGGATCCAAGCACAGGGCTTCACGCTGTGCATTGCACACTTTACCCACCATGCCATCCTCTCGTCACATCCTGAAGAATTTTAAGCAAGCACATATCTGACTACCTGACTCTGGTGAGGGTAAAAAGCAATGTAGAAATTTATTGGAAACAGTCTTTTTTTTTCTTAATATAAATGTTTGAAGAGTCAACAGTTTTAGATATCCTAGAATGCTTGGTTGTGGGGCCACTGAGTGATGTTAGTGTTGGGATATTAGCACAGATGATACCATTTGAATATTACAAACAATCCAATACAAGTATTTATCAAAAATAGTGTTAGAGAGACATTCCTTAAAAGTACATACAAACTTCAATTACATCAGTACAAAATATGTACAATTTATTTTCTTCCACTAAACTTCCCTTCCTCATCTAAAAAAAAAGTCCCAATTACACCTACTTGTCAGGTAATTGATGTTTGCATGAGATAATGTGTGGTATGTGCTTAGGACAATATTTTTTTCATGTATTACTTTGAACTTAAATTTTCCAGACAAATGCAATTTACCTTTGGACATTCTTAATGAATGTGAAATATGAGTTAACAGGCTGCAGAGAATCACTTGGGATGGACAGAGCTAGTAATTTTGCATAGAGAAAGGTAGGTATAGCATCAGAAAATCTTTACACAATTTCATGGTTAATGAAATGATAGAAAGCACTGCTTTGGGTAGTGATACAAGTAAGTGTCATTGGTTTCTTTTGAATAGTTGGTGCTCACAGGTCTGTAGCCTAGGAGAAGATGAAGAATTTTAATTTTATTTTTTTTTTTGTGAATGTGTTAGAGTATCTATTGCTGTGATGAAACACAATGAGCAAAAGCAACTTGGGAAGAAAAGGATTATTTGGCTTATATTTCCCTATAACTGTTCATCATTGAAGGAATTCAGGACAGGAAATCAGGCACAGCAGGAATCTGGAGGCAGGAACTGATGCAGAGGCCTTAGAAGGAGCTGCTTCCTGGCTTACTCCCCATAGCTTACTTAACCTGCTTCTCTATAAAACCTAGGACTACTATCCTAGCCCAGGGGTGGCCTCATCCACAATAGAATGAGCCTTCCTCCATCAATCACTGATTGAGAAAAAGCACTATAGGCTTTGCTACAGCCCAGTCTTATGGAGGTATTTTCTCAATGGAGGTTCTTTCCTCACTGATGACTCTAGCTTGTGTCAAGGTGACATAAAACTAGCCAGAACAAAGAATAATACAGCGTGTAAACCAAGAAGTAAGGAAGGTGATTGTAGGCAGAAGTTTCTTGTCCCAACAACCTAGTCACAAATACCAGACAAATGCTTCCCAAATTACCACACAGAGACTTATATTAATCGTAAATTGTAAATTGTAATAGTTCCGGCTTATTACTAACTAACTCTTACACTTTAATTAGCCCATAATTCTTATCTATGTTTAGCCATGTGACTTGGTACCTTTGCTCAGTAAGGCATTCTCATCTTGCTTCTCTGTGTTTGCCAGTGACCCTCTGACTCTGCCTTTTTCCTTCCCATTATCCTTAGTTTGGTTGCTCCACCTATACTTCCTGCCTTATTAAATCAATTCAAGTGACAAATCTTTACAGGGTACAAGAGGATTATTCCATTGCAGGTGATGAGGTCAACACTTAGAATCACTACTGTCTGCTTTTGTGGAGGCTCTGGTCACCAGCCACTTGTCTTCATTGAACACTAACACATTAAAACTCATCATCTTCTCTTAGCATCTTCTGGTTGGTGATCAACCCTAGGCCTCCAGGCAGGGGTCATGGGAAGCAAATAGTATGAATCTCTATCTGGTAGGTGCCCGGGAATAGGCAAGAGGGAGAGATAAAAGGAGGGGTGGTCACTCAGATCACATTACTTTGTTTTAGCCATGCATACAAGGCATGTACTGTTTTCAGTATGGCTAGAGTATTTCAGATGAGTCCTCTCAGATTCAAGTACTGAAATGTAAACCCCACTGTTACTTAATAAAGAGGGTAGGAACCTAAGCCAGCTAAGGTGTTTACGGGTGAAAGGTTTGGAAGAGTTGATTTGGACTGAATAAAGTTGTTAGGGTCGGGTTCCCATGACTGAGCACAATGGCTTTACAACAGATTGCACATACATGTGCCCCATCTCTTGTCCTCAGTTGTCCTGTGCAATCTTAGGACTCAGCAAGAAGTCTTTCGCCAGCCCCGGCCCCTCAACTTTGCTCTTTCAGAGTCAGAAGCTCAAACAAATCTATGTGTTTCTGTTTTGTCAACAGAAAACAAATTGCTAGAAGGTAGAAACAGGAAATACAAGAATGATAAATTTGTCATGTGTGGGGGTAGAATGTGAGTTCAGATGACCTAGTTCTGGGTAAAAGAACCTTCTGTTCCATGGTGTATTGTCACAGAAAGAAAAAAAGTGGACAGCACACTGTACCGGAGTTTAAAGTCCCACAAAATGGAAGTCATCTCTTCCTAACATCGTTTTGACCACCCTAGACCCTTCCTCACCTCTCTCACTCCCAAGGCCAGAACCGGTCTCCACAGGGATGCTTGTGAATGCAAGCCATTCATGGTGCAGATGTAGGTGGCTTATCTTGATGGGGGTTTCTACTGGAGCAGGCTGAGGGAAGCTCTTGCCTTTGGAAACTTGGCTGAGTTGGATTTTGCTTGCCCTGTCATATTGTTTTCCCTGAAGTCAGAAACTCAGTCATTGTGAGATAGCCCATGAGTGGGCTCTGCAATCCCCAGCTTATACAGGGCTGTTTCTTTCCAAACAACTTTATAAATGAACCTTGAGGTTGACACTAATAATGGTCGGTAGCATTTCAACCTGACACTGCTGCTTCATGGCTGTGAGGACACAACCAGCAAACCTTACTCTCCTGGTAGAAGGGGAGTCAGAGATGAATCTAAAGGACTGGAAAGAGTGTTTTTAAGAACCATATGGCTTTACTTCTAAGGAAACTTGAAGATAGAATATGAAAACTCCACTTTAAAAGAATGCTTTGGGGGGAAATGGTCTCAATGAATAAATAAAAACAATTGTAATTAGCCTATCATCTAAGGTATTTATATGCAAATGAAGCCTCTAAAGTACTTGAGGTTGCCTGCAAGTAATTTCTTCTCTTAGTCATAAACTTTAAGCATTGTGCTCACTGTGGTTTTGCTCTATTAATTCTCCTAATAAACCATTTCCTTATCATTAGCGCAAAGGTAAACTTCAACACAATTAAAAAATTTTAACAAAGTGTTGTAATTTATATAAAGCTCCAAGAAATGCAAATTTAAATGTCAAAAGTAGACCTTGAAAGTTATCATATAAACTTTTCTTATATAGCTGTTTGACCACAAAAGATCTTAAATTAATTGACAGTAGTAATTGAAAAACAAAAACAAAAAAAAAATCCTAATCTCACTTTTAAGACTATGTGATGCAGAACAATCTTATGACTGCCGATGTCAAAAGCCAGAGTCTATATAGTCTGCATTTTTCATACTTGCTTTATGCATTCTCATAAAGGGATCCGGCAACATGGTAAAATACAAGGCTGTCCCCAGGAGAACATTGACATCGGGGGACTATGGAAGAGGTAGGAGCCACAAAGCAGAGTCAGCTCCTGTGACAAAGAGGTAAATACAAAAATATAAAAGAAATCACATCTCAGCACAAAAGCTAGGAGGCCCCAGAGGATAGATGATGCCAGAAAACTGTGAGATTATTGTGGCTGCCAGAGTATATTAATACTATAAATATAGATGATTTCCTGAGGAAAAAGGTCCTTGAAAGCATACCAGATGTGTGATGCTGAATACCAAGTTCAACAGCCAAGACACAGAGCGCCAACAGAATGCCTGTTCCCTGCCCTTCCTTTCATGCGGTCCTGAATCTTGCCTG